CCTCCTCCTCCTCAGCTAGCAGCAGGCTGAAGTCAGTAACGCGCCCTTGAAGGAGTTAAAATATCGGAATTTTATTTTTCAATGGGAACCATTTCCTATCTCTCCCCTTTTACCTATAGAGGTGAACAACCTGATCATTATTCCTGTTTTACCACGGCAATGCACAATCTTCTACGTACTAACGCATCCAAGCGTGGCTCTTCAGGCTGGGTTGGCTTTGGATTAGATGATTAGTGTTCATTCAAGGATCGATTTGTTCAATCTGGCTGATTACCGAAAAGCTCTTCAAGAGTTTATGGGATACGAAGTAGTCCGGCCGGATAATAGAAGATGAACTTATCCTAACAGCTATAAACTAGTAAATAAGATAAAGCATGGAAGGCCAGTGTGTTAGGGATAATTTACTTAAGTATAAGAGTAATGTATGAATACTGGGTAAGTGATTCCCAGACGAATGTCGTCCAGCCATTAGCGGGCTGTCTGCAACCAGCCATGAGGTTGCTGGCTCCGGGACTCTGAGCGTAAACAGTCGCCACACTAATGTCCTTTGCGAACTGGCCTTGGGAAGTGGTTGGCCGGTTAGGCCAGACACGTCCGTGACCTCGACCGGAGGTTTGCGCAGGTGCTGGTGGACATGAGGGCCAGATATGCCCCAAGGGTTTGCGAACAAAGCATGGCTTAGAATAAGAGGTCGCTACAAGTTAATTCAGTAATGCGAGTATTTAAAACAGTTAAGCAGCTACATATATGCTAGTTTTACTCTATAATGATTGGTCATTCTGTTAAAAATAGGGCTTGTTTGTAACTTCATAGGGAAGAATTAAATAATGTATCATCATGCTGCTCAGAAAACAAGCTGCTACTGAACAATCAGACATCAGTTCTGTGTGTCTGTTGAATTTTATCAACGCTCACTCATAAATTTTAGGATATTTTCCCAAACACAGTCTCCTCTATTCGCTATCTTGCTGGTGCCGGGGCTTCCAACCTTCCATTCTCCATGCGCGTTGACTGCCTTCTTAGCGACCTCTCTAAACTAGTTTTCCACTTTCCTGCCACATTCCTCAAACTTAGTTTCTATGGATGTTACCAGTCGTCCACTTATACTTTACAGTGTTCTTGATTTATTCTTATAATTTGCTAGGGGAAGAGTAGTCTATTTATTCTGTGACCGCTACTCCTTGCTTCCACTGGCATACCAGTGGTCATTTTTGCCTCAGATGTTGCTATAATACAATAACATGCAACCAGTTGTGGAATAAGGAGGCTGAGCTTAAGTTTGTTTCTACGACCGTCAAATATTTTAGGTAATTGTTTTTCGATCGCCACTGCATTATTCGCATCTCGGCTATGGCTTTCAGAAAGTGTAGAAAATGTCTGTTTGAAAAAAAATTGGTTCCTTCTAGGGACTTCATTAAAAGCACACTCCTGAAATTTAACCTATGTGCATCTGATGTGATTTCGGGATTGAACAGTCTGTCTGTGTGGACTTTGCAGTTTTGAAAGCTCATGTTTCTGCCCATCTCGCAGCAATCTACCCTATAAAAAACCCGTGGGATTAAACGTTAACCCTATCAGTCTTACCATTAGCAGATATGAATGATTAAATTGATCCAATTGTGAAATATTCGACGACCCGGTGAGATTCAAAACCATGGCAGCAAGGAAACGCGTGAGTACAGTCAACGCTCCAGCCAACTGAGCTATCGAGGACCCACCGGAAGCCGTGCGTCTAGTCAGACGTGGGTCGATACTACCCGCCCCACCTACCACACCGTATGCAATCTGTTATAGCCCAGTTAGTTCTGTGTCGGCAGTTGTTATAGCCCAGTATTTCGAACCCGATTAATAGGCAGAAGAAGGTAAGAGAGCGGTTCTGATAGGCAAGGGCTGTATTCAACAATACACAAAGACTGTGGCCTGTGGGGTCTGCTGAGTCGTCGGAGTCGTCGTCCGTGTCTGTCGGTCCCTTTAGCTTGTCCACTTTCCACTCCGGCATATTTATATGGCTCCGGTCTTTCCAGGATATTCCTAGCGTATTGGCTGCACGTAGACATGCTAGAATGATCTCGAGTACGAGCACTGCCCCCGCTATGTGGGTGGTCCTCTGGTTTTCTCAGCTCACGGCATACACGCGGGAGTGGGCGTCTGGTATGAGGGCGTGACGTAATCCGGCCGACCCTGTTGTGGGCAGGACTCAGCTGGTCTGTCCTTTTAGCCGACTGCCGTGAGTGCATGGGGGATCCTGCCTCCGTAACACTATTGCTATTACCACCATCATATTTGCTACCAATACGACTGCTTCTACCGCCGAAACCATTACCCCTCCTATTACCACCACAATCGCTAGCAATACTAATATTGATACTACAACTACCATCACTAATTCTACTACTACCACCACCACGATTGTTGTTACTACTGCAGTCACCGTTATTACAACCACTACTATCGTAGCCCCTCCGCTGTTACCACCCTCGGCGCACTTCTTTCCTCACTATAATCAGGATCCCTCACCATAATTAATCAGACGCGCTTGAATCTATCGCGGTGCGCTGAAAGCCTTGGCTTGGAGGGTTGCCAGCTGGCGGGTTAACTCGGACACCGCAGTCGGCCCAGTATGTGTCTTGTTGAGTGGAG